GTGTAGAAAATATGGTCAGGCCTTCTAAATGCTCATTTATGCTTAGTGCTAATCCTTCCTAATAAGGGGGGGCCAAGTTGCCTAGCCTAGCTCTTGAGGAGTGTTCTTGACCGATCTTGGCCCTTTACCTTCCAGCCTATGAAAGTCATGAACCCTGTTGGGATTTTAACCGGAATATCTACAGATCGATTTGGGGAGAGATGGCATCTTTACAAGACAGTTTGGCCCAGAAAAAGCCAGGTCTGGAAATTCAGGCAGACCCAGTAGGCCACAAGAAAACTGGGGGTAAACAATCATTTCATCTAAATTTTTAAATGTATTGGCATAAAGAAGTTAATAGTTTCTTATCTCTTTAAATAGTACGGCATCTGTAGTTATGTCTTCTTTTCTATTTCTAACATTATTTGTGCCTTCTCTTTTTTCTTTGAGTAATTTTTAAAATTAATTTTGCCAGGTTTGTGTATGTTATGTTTATTTTTTCCTTTCATAAATATATCAATGTATTCGTCAATCAAATATTTACTAAATATACACTGTAAAGTACAAAGCCAGACAAGGCCAGGCGCGGTGGCTCACGCCTGTAATCTCAGCATTTTTGGAGGCCAAGTCGGGTAGATCACCCAAGTTTATGAGTTCAAGACTAGCCTGATCAATGAGAATAATCAATGAAACCCATCTCTACTAAGAATACAAAATTATCCAGGTGTGGTGGTGCATGCCTGTAATCCCAACTACTTGGGAGGCTGAAGTAGGAGAATCGCTTGAACCCCAAAGGTGGAGGGTATAGTGAGCTGAGATCACACCACTGCACTCCAGCCTGGGCAACAAGAGTGAAATTCTGTCTCGAAAAAACAAAACAAAACCAGACAAGACATAGTTTCTACCCTAAAGAGATTGCAGTCTGATTTGAGAAAAATATATGAAAATAGAAAATGGCCATATAATATGATAAAAATCACGAAGAGAGAGCATAGAAGGAATATGCCTAATGGGGGGGGGATCAGCAAATAAAACTTCATGAGAAAACTAGTTTAAACTGCTACCAATTAGAATCCTAACCACTGCAATCAATTTTCCTCCATCAAATTAATTTAAACCCTTCCATCTATTTACATTAGGGTCAAATATTTACTTAACATTTTCACGTTTTTGGAGGATTTATAACGTACTTATCTATCCCTAGACACTTGGCAAAAATGATGAAGCTGTTCCAAGACAGCCTGAGATCATACTGTTCAAGTACATGGCTCTGGAGCTTGGAGGAATTCTGCCTTTAAGATCTGCTCAGCAACCTTTTGTTACGAACTAAAAACATTTCAGTTTGGGCAACCAAATCAACATTTTTCGGAATTCGCTAAGGCCCCTAAAGACAGAACTGGTTCATAGTAGTCAAGAGTTCTTCCAAATTTACACACATGGACACAATTGGTGAAATATATTTGTGTAAGAGCTCATGTCTTCGAAATTTTTACCAAGCCCTATTTTATTCTCAGGGAAATAATGGCAGACACACTAACGCAGAGACTCCGATCTCTGGACCTTGGTTCACTTTTGAAGCAACAAAGAGCTTGAAAAAACATTCCCTGAGGTCTCTTCCTACTGTAACACCAGGATAATAAGAGTATTATGCCCAAGTATAAACATAAATGGGTGACCGAAAAGACTTACCTACTTTATTCTCATGTCTCAATGACTTGTTAGATACAAACCTCTCTGGTTTGCCTTAGAGTCACAAAAAAAGACCTGAAGTAAGGTTTCGAAGAACAACAACAAAAAGTCAAAGAAAGCCATCATACTTACATCCTTCCATTTCAAAACAAAACAAAAGAGCAGGAAATAGGTTTTCCAGGGAGAAGAATCTGGTTTCAGCTTTGGATGTGCCAATCACAAGTAAATGGCTGATATGGTTTGGCTGTGTCTCCACCCAAATTTCATCTTGAATTGTAGCTCGCAGAATTCCCACACGTCCTGGGAGGGACCCAGTGGGAGGTAACCGAATCATGGGGATGAGTCTTTCCCATGCTGTTCTCGTGATAATAAATATGTCTCACAAGATCTGATGGTTTTAAAAGGGGTCGTTCTCCTACACAAGCTCTCTTGCCCGCCTCCACTTAAGACATGACTTTGCTTCTCCCTTGCCTTCC